AACAACCCCCATACTGTTTACTGATTAATGACTGATTGATTTTCGATAATCACCGATTACTGTTAAACGAAACGGATAATGACTGATAACTGACTGATAATTGAACTGATCAAAAGTACTGAACTGACTGACTGAAAATTGGAAACCGAATTGATTGAGTATATGTTAGTTAAATTGTATTCTATCTGTTTGATTGTATGATTATCTGTTCATGCTTATATGTTTAAACTGCTAATTGAAGGCCTTATCGACGGCCAAATTAGAAACTGATTGATGTTTAATGACCCTCGTAATTAATGTGATTTTATGGTATATTTACCTAAAAACTGATTAGGCATGATTAAATTAGATTAAAATAAGCTAATTAAAGAGTTGGACTTAATTACCGTTTTGCCCTTGAGTGGGCCACTATCTCACACATCTTTAAGCCTTGTATACACTCATACACTTGAGCCAAAGACAATATTTCCTCAGCCATTTCCCCTCTCATTGCCGACCTTAGAGAGAGAAAAACTAGAGGAGTGGAGTTCATCTCAATTTTGCTTGTAAATTACTTGGTAATTGAAGAAATTGTTGAAGTGATTGCATATTTGAGCTCCCTTCTTGAAACACAAGACTTAAGGTAGCTCCATTGTCTTCTTAGTCATGTTTTAAGTTGAATCTTGCATGATTGATGTCATATTGAAGGAGTGTAGAGCCAAACATGGTTTAGATGGCGAATTGTAGCTTAATTGTTGTATGCATGTACATATATTGAAGTTTTGAGGTTGTAGTTCATAATGCCTCACATGCATGTCCATCTTTTGGTCATACTCCATGAGTTCATCTTGTTTTTGAAGGTTTGAGCTCTTTTGAAACAGCATTGAAGCTTTTAAAATGATTTATGATCATGCATGTCATGTTTGAGGATTGTTCTTGGAAAATGGTTTGAAATTGGGTTTGAATAAAACACCCTTGGGCTTTGATTTCTCAAATTGAGCCTTGATTCATGTTATTCTATGTGTTTATAAATGTTTTCCAGAAAATGGGCCCAAGAGGATTGGTTTTGATGCTTTTGAGCTTGGTTTTGGACCTGGAGCTCGAATCTGGGATTTCCAGATTTCAGTCGTCCGCTCGAGCGGGGGAAGTGCCGCTCGAGCGGGAAAATCGAGCTTCCAGCATCTTGCACTGTTTTACAGTCCGCTCGAGCGGAAAATTTTTTTTTTTTTTTTTCTTGATGACCAAGTATCCTAGGAACTTCTCTGACCTAACTCCAAATGCGCACTTCGACGCATTGAGTCGAAGCCGAAATGTTCTTAGGATATCTATAATAACCCCGGCCCCAGATTAACGTTAATTCGTGCTTAGTTAAGCCAAACAATAATTTAGGAAGGATTTGGAACTAATTTGCATGAGTATTGCATGATTTTTGTGTTCATATTTGTTAGGCGTAGAAATATATGTTCATGTTTTAGTTTTGAATTGCGAATTGAAAGCCTTATCGGCGCCCGATTTCGAAATTGACTTGATATATGTGCTAGTTAGGATATATAGAATTTTATGGTATGTTTAATTAAAATTCGGTTCAGAACGATTAAATTAGATTAATTTAATGGCTCATTTGATTAATCTTAATCAACTATCGTTAGGCAAGCCTATATAAGGCTTCTTAAGTGCTCTCACTCATACTTTTCTTCCACTCCAACACATCTTGAGCTCACACTCACACACACACAAACGTGTAGAGAGAGTGAGAGACCAAGGAGAAGTATTCAACAAGGAATTTGCTAGAGAATTAAGGAGAATTGAAGAAATTGAACAAGAACTCACTAAAATTCAAGGAGTTGAGAGCCTAAAGTAAGAAATCAAGTCTTTAATTGTGTAATTAGGATCCTTATCATATGCATCCAAAGGAATTAAGTGAGTTGGGGCATGAATTAAGCTTAATGAAGTAGTAGAATAGAATATACATACATGTATGTACATTACATTGCATTTAGAGCATGTTGTCTAAGAATTGTCCCATGCATGTTCATATTTTGGTTGAAGTTTAAGGATTCACTATGTTTTTAAGTAAAATATCTCTTTGATCATGTTTTGGAAGCTATGAACTCAAATAAACCCATGCATGACATGTTCACATCATGTTCTTACTTTTCAAGTTGTATTTTGCACAATTGACATGCTTTTGGACCTTGATTTCATGAAATGATCTTCAATTCTTTGTGTTTTCTAAGGTTGGACATGTTTTCTCAAGTTTTAGGGCCCAAAGGTTGAGTTTAATGGCTTTAAATTTGAGTTTTGAGCTTGGGAGCAAATTTAGAAATTCTGGAATTTTGCTTTTATGTTCGAGCGAAGGAACTCACACTCGAGCGACTACTCTGAGTGCGTGCACTTCCGCTCGAGCGACAAGAAGTCCGCTCGAGCGTGAAATGCATGCTCCCAGAAGTTTTTATGTTTTGCATCACGCTCAAACAACAAAAGTTGCGCTCGAGCAAGGACATATCTCTCACGCTAGAGCGAGCATCGAGCAGAAAAATCAAGCAACCAGTACTTTTACAAAAGTTTACAGACCGCTCGACCAACAGATCTTGCGCTCGAGCGACCACTCACATTTTGCATGTTCGCTCGAGCGTAGGAAGTTACGCTCGAGCGAGGCCCCTGTTTTCAGCAAATTTTGTTAAATGCTTTCAAGTGCATTTTGGCATCCTCATTGCATCCTAGACATTCTTAGGCCAAGATTACGACACCTTAATGAGGATAAAGAAGTAAAAACACACCATGACAAGAAAGAACTAAGTTAATGATTCCGAATGTGTAATTCAGTACGTATTTGTTTTGTATCTGTATAGGTCACGTGCCACGACATATCAAAATTGCCTACTCTGTCCGTTTACTCGGAGCCATCTGTTATCTGTGAGTAATAACTTAGTAAAGCTATGTTCAAGTTAAATTATTTTCTATATATGAAATGAGATCTATTTTATGAAATATCATGTTTTACACTATGAATGATTGTCCAACTCTAACAAATATTTTTGGTAATTATGCTATGATTCAAGTATGTTATCTGTACCCAGTCCGGAGGTTCCTTGTGGAACTGACAAGTTATCTACGTCCGGCTGGAGGTTCCTTTATGGAACTAACAAGTTATCCGTTCCCAGTCCGGAGGTTCCTTTATGAACTGACAAGTTATCTGTACCCGGCTGGAGGTTTCTCTATGGAACTGACAAGTATAATCTATGATGTTCTGTATATGATCTGTTAACACTAACGGATGAACTATGTATGATCAAGCATGAATTCTAGATTCTGTATATGAATTGAGTATGAATACGATTGTGAATCTATTCAATGTACAAGCTTAGTTATGGACATCATTCATTTACTCATTTACTCTGTTATTATTCACTAGGCTCTCGCTCACTATCTATATTATGTATGTAGGTGATCAGGCACGTAATCAGGCTCAGAGTTGAGGACCTGGCATCTCAGTTTTTGTCAGTCAACCCTTGTACCTCCCAAGGAGGTTCCAGTTAAAGTCAAGTTTAGTGGCTGTAATATTATGAAAATATAAGACTTGGTTCCATGAACAAGTTTTTTTTTTTTTTTTTATGTACATGAAGTGACGTATAAATATTGTATCTTTTGACGTCACTCGTATGTTTATAAAAGTTTAAGATTATCTGTTTCATGTACGTCTTCACAGCTCGACGGACTATGTATATTTTATGTATTTGCTTCCGCAGCCCCTAATTATATATTATTATGTTAAGAGGCCTTTGGTAATCCAAGAATTACTGGCCGGTTGCGATACTAAACCTATAGAGGCAAGTTTGGGTCGTGACACCCTCGTTGGTACACGTGTCACCGTGATGCTCTAGACTACTAAATAGTTTTTCCTATTACAGCTACATGCCTCTAACTAATCAAAGCCATTGTAAAACTGCAATACCTGAATATAAAAACAGCATATAAAAAAAAAAAAAAAAAAAAAAAAAAAAAAAAAAACTTCAATTACAACTAGTTGTAACATCATACTGAATTCTTCATGGAAAAAAATACTATCCAAATGGGAGCTAATGAAAGAATCTAGAACTGCCTAGCAAACTCTAGTACATGTAACTAGACTTGTAGGTATTTGTATAGATATTTCTAGAAGGCATTATAGAATGTTCTTGTAACTTGTAAGAAGGCTTCTATGAGAAGCTTCTACATATCTCTTTCTTGTGTGTTCTAGAATGCTCCAAATGAGCCTACAAATAGGAGAGGGGCGTATTTGCTCCAATCATCAATCAAGAGTTGTACAAGTTCTCCTAAAGTGAATACAAAGGCATTCTCTCAAACTATCTTTATCTTCTTACTTCTCTTCTTTGCAAACTTGTGAGTTAGCTAGCTTCGCATCATCAAGTAAGACTTGCGATTGTGAAGTGCCATATGAATAGCTTGGAAATAACTAAAGCTGAGGATGACAATGGATAATCTATTAGGTAGGTATTCATGGAGACCCAATCCAAATACATAAGTTTTTTTCTTTTTTCTTGTCTGTTGGGTAAGGTAAGTGATGTTCTTTAAATCTCCGCTGGAGATGGGTACCCACTAATTTTTTCTTTTTTTTTTATAGGTACATCAGAAAATAATTTCTCCATATGTTTTCACTACTCTTTTTTTTTTTTTTTTTTTTTTTTTTTTTTTTTTTGGTTTCAAGTATTTTGATACATGTTTATTAAATTACTGCTCATGTCTATTTTTTGTTATATAATCGATGTGAGTTTGACATTTTATTTTTATTTAGTTAAAAAAAATACATGTGAATATGTCTATACATGATGATTTTGAAGCACTTTCTCAATAAAAACTTGGACCAACGCTGACTGTGTCTCTTCTCTGTTCTTTCTCTCGAGGTTCTTACAAAAGTTTCTTCTTTCTTGTTCTATTTTGATATAACAAAAGACAAACAATCCAATAATAATGGTTTACTTTCTTTTTTATTTTAATTTTTTTCCTTCTAAGCAACCCCAATATGGAAAAATGGTGAATTTTTTAAGGATTTAGATGGTGATTTTTGTTACCCTTTTTGTGGTTTTGTACTTTAGTTTTTTTTTATTATTTATTTATTTATTTATTTTCCCTATATAAATTGCCTTGGTATTGCAGCCTCTTGGTCTTCCTTGTCCTCTGATTCCTATCTCAATGCCTTCTGAAAAGTTTTGGTACTATTTATTGGTGAGTTTCTTCTTGAGTCCCTTCTACCATCTTCTTCTTTTTTTTTTTTTGGAAAAAAATATATATATCGGTCTTGAGTATAGATGGGTATTATGGGCTTTCAAATTTGGATTTGTGACAATCAGTTAATTACATGTCATGATGACTCGAGATGGGCTTTCAAATTTGGATTTGTGACAATCAGTTAATTACATGTCATGATGACTCGAGATGGGTATTAATTTTAATTACATGTTAATCTCATGTAATTTGATATATATGTGTTTGTAAGTATGGATTTGTAACACTTGTTATTTATCCACCTCTGAATATATGGTTTTGTTCTAAATCATGTTTTGAGATACATAAAATTAAAAAAATTAAAAAAGAAGATGGAATTTTTTTGTAGATATAGTATTTTTCTAAATAAATTTAAAAATTCTAAATATACATAAAATTTGACAAGAATAATGTGACAATATTAATTAATGTGTATTTGATTTTGTTGTTGAGCCAATAAAATAAAATAAGATTGAATGTATGTATGTTTAGCTTTGGTTATGAATCTTAAAGAAATTAAAAAAAAATAAAAATTGATTGTGAACCTTTAAAAAAAAAAAAAATTAGGTTGGAAAAAAAACCCATTAGGATATGGGGAGGGTAGTACCCGTGAGGAATGGAGAATGGGAAATGCAAAAAAATAATTATAAGGGAATGAAAATGAGAAATTAATATTCACTCCATTAACCTCTATTGTCATTCCTACAAAGCCGTGACATAATGGTTGAATGTAGATAAAGAAACATGAATTCGAATTTGAAGTTTGGCAATAGATGCTTTCTTGGAATCTAGTTTTCCTTCTTTATTTCTTGTAAAACATAAAATTTATCAACAAAAAAAATATATATATATATATATATATATAGTAAATTCTATATACTTCAATCACAGCTTACAAGCTGATCAAAATTTGAAGAGATCACATATGCTAAAAAAATTATCATCTAATAGAACGTAACTGTTCCATCTTAAGCAAATTAGTATATAAATTATCCATCCATTTTCTAAATATGAGTAAAAATATTATGACTCATGCACATACCTAAGTGCTGGGAAACAACATTTTTCAAATCCAAGAATCCTACTTAACTCTCAACCACAAGCAATGTCTAGATTTAGAGAGCGAATAAAGAAACAAAATATGTTTGGAATGAGAACAGTATGTAGATGTATCCCAGTGCATGACAAACAGAGCTTCTCATCATAATATTTTCAAATGAATAATAAATATCAAGGTCGAAGATGATGTGATCCATATAATCAAAATAAGTTGGGTCAAGTGGAGAAATGCGGCTAGTATATTATGCAATCGATGAATATCTCAACAAATTTAAAAAGAAAATTTTATAGAACAATTATAAGGCAACCGATACTTTATGAGACAAAATGTTAGATAATTAAGAAATAAAATGTTCATAAAATGAATGTAGCTGAGATAAAAATTCTTAGATGGACTTGTGGTAAGACTAGGAAAGATAGAAATAAAAATGAATATAGTTGTGATGTGTGCTAAGAGTAATACCTATTGAAGACAACGTCAGAGAAAACAAGTTAAGATAGTTTGGTTATGTACAACAAAAATCTATAAATACAATGAGTGACATAATCACCATTAATAGAAATGTTAAGAGGAGAGGAAGACTTCAGTTGACATGGGATACAGTAGTAAAAAAAAATATGAATTTGTGTAATTCAACAAAGCATTTAGCCCTTAAAAGAGAAGAATAGTGAAAAAGATTCATATAAACGACCCACTTAAATAGGACACAAGGCTTAAATTAGTTTTAGTTTAATTTGGTTTGGTTAAGGTCCTGCATCAACAAATCATTGGATACATCTTGTATAGAAAGCACAAAAGTACAAATTACAGTTTGTAGTCAGGTAAATGGATTTGATCACTGACTAATATATAGTCAGTGAGGTATATTCCAAGTGACTATTCAAACTATTAGCAGTGTATATATTCCAAGTAACTAATTCAAACAATTAGCATAGACAATATTCCAAGTGATTATTCAAACGATTAGTAAAATTCATGAACATCAAACTGCTGATATTGACCACCTCCTGTAAATTTCAAAATACCCCCCAATTTGGGCAGTCCAAATGCAACCAATATTCAACTTAATTACACAGTCAACAATCTCACTAGCCTAAAAGTAAGGCTTTAATTTTGATTGGCCATGAACTTCTAAATCAAATTGTTCTCTGGCTCTGCACATGGAAACTTTAAAGCAAAAACTATAGCATGAATGCTTTCACAACTAGCCTCTCTAGAAGAAAAGAAAGAAAAAAAATTAACTAACAACAAAAAAAATAATAATAAAAAGAAGAAAAAGAAGAATTTTTTATGTTTGTCAAAGTGAGCGATGGTTGAATTTAAATTTAAAACAATAAATCTTCTTTACATAAGTATTAAGAATGATGAAACAGATAGATTCTTGGAAACATAAAGTCAAATCAAGGGTTCTAGAATTAGTGCATAAACATGCGTTAATTTATTCAACATCAAGTACAGAAGTGTCGTTTCAAAATTACAACCAAGCAAAATATAGCTGTCGAAAATGAAAGCAACCAACAAAGATCCTACTAGTATTCACCTGACTTGCCACCAGTTGCAAAATATATTACCAGCAAGCAGGCAGAATTGGAGCTTTCCCATATCTCAGACGAAATAAAGTACCTCCTCTCCACCAATGATTTATAGAAAATATTAAATTGAAGAAGCCAAAACACAGCTAAGCCCAGTATCCACCTTCTCCAATTCAGTTTTGCCAATCAAATAGAACAATGCCAAGAGAATCATATGGACTTCACATTACAAGCCTACATGTCCTAAATGGAACGCTGCAAAACCCACCACAAGACACATCCACAACCACAACACAATGGATTTGCCACAGCTGTATAATACAGATTAAAAATGCATTATGTTGCAGTAAATTCCAAGGCAAGATTCTTAAAAACTCACAGCGTTTCCCCACTCCAATTACCACTTGAAGAACCAAAAACCACCTTAATGGATGATGACACTTTAAAACAAAATATTAAAGACCACTTCATTGAACCCGGAAAACTTCATATCCTACTACAGTAAATAGAGAAAGTTAAAGCAACTGGAAAACTACCATTACAACAGTATTGCTAAAAAGTTCTAGAACCAACAATGATGTGAGGTCCAGCCAGGGTTCTTCTAAAACTACAAAGATCTCATGCAAATTTACTCGACTTAACAAAAATTAGCATGCTGGAGCCTAACTTGGTGCAGACTGTCAACCATAAATTACCCTTGCGACACCAAGAATGGCTTATTTGACTTCAAGCATGTGCAAGGAGTTCTAAGTTCTTTTCAATGCCTCTTTGACAAGCACTTCCAATTTTCCTAGATATGTCTTGCGATGATAAACAATAAACCAAACACAAATAGAAATGCAAAGATAAGATCGATAACAAAGTGAACAGGCACCTTCATTAACATGCAGGAGATTCCGGAATAGGTGATTGAAGATATATTGAAATGACTTAAAACAAGAACCAAGAACAAAAGCAACTGATGATTGAAAAATAAAGATTAAATTGCCCAACTGAATGGTGACACAGGAAACTAGTGTAGCTCAGATATGCATATGATGCTATTAAAGCACCCATTCAGATAGAATCTTGATCCTACCATCTGCAACATTTTCACAGAGAAACATACCGTTCAAACAACAAAACATAATCATTTTTGCTGAAACACCACATCAGTTTGATGTTTTATTTTATTTCATTTGGATTGTCACTTAATTGGCAGAAGCAATTCAATATAGAAATATCAGTAACAATTTGGATTGGAATCTTCGCTAACTGCTCTAGTGATACATAGATTACTTGAAATAAATCAACATTGTCTTGCTACCTTCCAAAGCTTATATGTTAGCCATGATGGCGCTGAAATTATCATAACACCATAGTATCAGTGCTCACATATCAACATATGAAGGTGATTCAAAATGATGTTAACTACACATTCTCGCCTAATGTAGCTCATTTAGGGCCTCACAAGGTTGGCCATCAAAAAATCCAACCAAGAAAAAAAATATTCAAATCACTCTTTCATTAAGCAGTAACCACAGTAAGATATTGTGCTATTATTAGTGAACAGAAGCAACTGATTGGGCAGGAACATAAGATATGTGAAAACCACTCACTGGTCTTTCCGAACAGAACAGCATAATTGTCTTTTCAGAGAGAGAACATGCAGTTTGTTAATGGTCATGTGCGGGCTACATGGTTTTTTTTATTTTATTTTATATATACAATAGAGGGTGGAAATAGGGGGTTTCAAACTGATGAATGTTCTTAATCATGCATACCTCAGCAAATTTATAATGTTAGTGCTCAGATTAGGTCTGTTGTAAGCTTAGCCAGCTTGTCATCTCCCAGATTAAGTGGCATGGGTTACTATCGTTGTGGATGTTGTTTTTTCAGAGGGGATTCCCTTCTTGTAATGTAACTATTGGCTATGTTTTAATACTCAAAACATTTCCTTTCATGATTTAAGTTGCAAAAAATTATGAAAAAGAGCAGTTCAAATCAATGTTTTAGATGAAAAAAATACCCATAAGATATATCAGCTCTCTAAACAAATATCTGGTCCGTTTAGCCTATGTCAATGAACTTGCAGCTGTGCTTGAATTTTTCTTTTCTTTCTTTGTGTGTGTGTGTGTGTGTGTGTAAAAGTAACAACATCAGAACATAGAGGTTTTCTACCAAAATATGCTACACCTGTAGGCAACACCATTTCATTTAAGGAAAAACAGAAATAACTGACAGTTTATACAGTATATGCACACAGGGACACTACTTCCAACAAGGTTTCTAAAGTAATTATCACAACCCAGATAACATCAATGGAAGCTTACCAGAAACAAATAAACAAAAACTTGCATTGCACACACCCAATCCTTACCAGACAAACTAATTTTGACCACACAGGCTATTTAGTTAAACTCAGCAGCCATCTCCTTTTGCTTCAACTCCAATGCCATATGCTCGTTCTCAAGTTTCATCCTCTCGTTTTCCATCCTCATCATTTCCAACTCCCGGTCTTTTTTCCTGCAAAATCTCTGCCACTTGAACCTCTCTTTCTCCAATTCCAACATTTGTGCCTGAATCTGTAACTTCTGTTCTTCCAACTGAAGTGAGCGATGTTTCATCCACTGCCTTTGCAACAGGTTTGCTTTCACACCTTCGGGTAACCCTTCATTCGTATCACCCTGAACATTTTGTGGGTGAGAACTGAAAGTTTTGTTACAGTCTAAAGCAGTGAAGGAACTCCCTAAAGTAATATCTTCTTGACCCTGGCATGGTTTCATTCTCTTTGCAGAGCCCCAAACCCCATACATTGCTCTACGATCCCCATGCAAACCATGATTTTCCTCAAATTCATCACGATCATCAGTTTCCGCATCTTGATCATCTTCATCAAGATCGTCTTGTGGGTGCCTCCTCACATCAATGTTGTCATGATCATCTCTACTCCTAAGAGCCAAACGCAAAGAACGCTGCAATTCGGGATCATGGGGCAGATGCAATCGGTTGGAATTATGGTAAGAGCACATCTCTTCGTAGAACAAATGCTTCGAGCTCAGAATTTTCCTAACCTCCTCCTTTGCTTTCTCTGATATATGATCCATCATGTCCAAGAGTTCAGGCCTCTCAACAACCTGGCAAGAAGTGCCCCTCCCAAGGATCTCATTAAGCCTCTTGTACCTTTTGTTGAGGTCATTGAATTTATCCTCGCACTGCTGAGGAGAAACATAATGACCCCTTTCGGCCATGACCTTCGAAACTGATTTCCACTTGCCCTTTTTTTGTAAATTCACATATTTCCTCCTCGTTCCGCTACCATATTCAGCAGCAACATCCTCACCTATGTAAGAAACAGCAGTAATCAAAAGCCTCACCATCTTATCGGTCCACTTCACACGCTGCCATGGCATCCCCTTTTTCCCTCTATTCCCATCGTTGTGACCGTCAATCGTGTCTTCCATAAAGCTCGGTTCATCCTCGTCACTCGCAGAATTTTTTCCCCTCTCTCCCCCTTTAGAGAAATCTGCCAAAGGGATGGTCTGATCACAATCTTGCATGCTTGACATAGTAAGCGGAAAATTCTCATGAATCGATGGATGGACCATCAATCCTTGTCTAGGAAGAGAGTGATGTTGTTGATGGAGGGTAAGCGGCTGTTGTTGTTGTTGTTGTTGTTGTTGATGAACTCGCATTGAACCTTTCAAGTCAAGCCCCCCAAAAGAACTACTACCCGGAATCATATTTCCTGATGATAAATTGCCTTCCATTGCTAGCTAAGAACAATACAGATCACACCCACAAACCGAAATTCCTCGAAAACCCTAATCCAACAGTAAAATTTCACTCTTCAGAGGTCTTCTCTCTGAACTCAGATTATATCAATGAAACTGTTTCCCTTAAAACCCTAATTCCAACTCCACTTTTTGCTCCATGGAAGCCATTTGTCATACAGTTCCATAACACTCCATCTCAGAAACAACCAAAATACGTTACGAGTCATTGATGCTCAAGCACAACAAGGTCCTTCTAGAGCTTATCTAAATCATCAATTTAACTAACACATTTCAAGATTATACACACAATACCAAACAAAAACCAAAAGAACTCACAAATAGATTACCCAAATCCACTCAATCAAAGAAACCCAATAAGCAAACCACCTAAAATTGAAAGAAACATACTGAAAAACAAATAATAAATCAAAAACAACAATTGGGTTCATCTAAGAAGAACATAGCAACTTATCTGGCTCGAAAAATTAGATATATGAATACCCACAAAGCTACACGAAAGCTTCCTGTAATTAAGCCGAGAATCTAGTGTCTGATCACGAAAAAAATCCCAATACAGCTATGAGAGTGAAGAAGTGGTTGGAGAGATCTGTATGTATGTTTGGAGCTAACATAGCCTTCGTTTGTGATTGATTTTATGGTTTTTTGGTTTTTTACCTTAGATTAAAAAGTTTTGATTGGGGTAGATTTTTTTTAAAAAAAAATTTGATTTTTATAAAATAAAATAAAATAATTTTGATTTAGATGTGATATTTTATTTTATTAATTTTTTAATTTATTTCATTTTTTTATAATTAAGGGGTTGTTTGGGGTGTCCTGTGCACTTTTTGTTTTTTAGACTAAAAAGTTGAGGTTGAAAATATGAATGTTTGGGTTAACTTTTTAACTTTTTATAGAAAAAAATATGTATTAAAAAATTGTATAAATTAATGTGAAGGGAAAAATTAATATTGAGAATTGTGCAGCCGTAATTGTTGACTTTTGGTGAATAATGATAACTTTTTAACTTTTTAAATAATTTTTTGACTTTTTAATTTTTTTTGACACTTCCCAAACTTAGCGTAAAATAATCAATAGCCATTTTTTGTCAAATATATACACTCATTTTGTGCGAACGCTCTCACCTTTTTTTTTATTTTATTTATTTATTTATCTTCTATATTCAATAATTGTCACATTTAATAAATATTAATAATTTTTTTATTTGGTTAAATTATTTTTTTATTTATCAAATCATTCAAAAATATAAATCATTGCTAATATAGATAATATATAGAGAGATTGTTTTGTGAACCATTTATATATGAAAACTTTTTTATGAGACTTATTTATTTTAAAGGATGTGTCAAACTATTTAATCAATATTCTACTTACAAATTATTATGTGAAAATTAGAAAAGGTGTACTTTTGGCTTCAATTTTTTACTTGTCAACTTTCAATTCAAAAAAAAAATTACACCAAACAAGTCCCACCGACTATATACAAAATTACCAACTTTAGCCATATTAGTTACAATTATGTAATTAATAAGGCATACCATTAGAAAAAGTATTAGTAATGAATCATTACAATAATGTTACAAATTTTGTAATTATGTTAAATAAATTATGAATTTTTGTAATTTTACTATCAATTATGGTAATATAATTACAAAATTACATACATTAACTTCTTCAATTATGCTGGGACCTCCAGTGGGAGGTGACTCCCAGCACCCCACCTCCACACGAGAGACTGTAAGTAGAAGACAAAAAAATAAATAAATAAATAAAATAAAAATAATATGAATCAATTAAAAACAGTGGAGGTGGTGGGATGAGCCTCATTGGGTCGGGGGCATTTTCCTAACTTCTTTTAGGTGTTATAAAATTTCTAGATTTTCTCAGATTCAATGTATGGGTGGGATCTGGTGGGTCCAATTTGGCATACTTTTCAGGAAGTCATAGCCACACACTCCCTCCCCTGAAGGGAAGCAGCAGGAAAAAGCTTGTGGTGACAAATATATAATAAGATGTTACCATGTGATGGGAAATTTTATATTATTGAGTACACATTATTGGAACCTAACCCTTTTCATTGGAAGGTCATCTTTGTTAAATTTATGTATATTCACCTACACTTTTCTTTTTTAATTTTTTAATCCAGTTGTCAAGCTTAAGCATATAGGAGATGACCTTCGAAATAAATTATGAAAATATATGTATTTTTAAGTTTGATTTTTATTGATATCTTCTACTTTACCTATAGTTTATTTGGAGTGGAGTCTTGATGACTCTACCTTAAAATTATCGTCACTATAAAAAATAACAATTATACTATTTTTAAAATTTTATAATAATAGTGTTCGCCACTATAAAAAATAACAATTATACTATTTTTAAAATTTTATAATAATAGTGTTCTTATTGTTAGAACTGTTATAAATTATAATAACTCATGTGAAAGAATATGGCGTGAATGAATAAATTGTCTTTTTGAAGTTGCGGCCAGTCCTGAAAAAGAATATTTTCCAATATAATTTTTCAAACTAAATTATTATCATCTTTTGTGATTCTAGAAGGAATTATTATTGATAATACAGTCCGTCCCGGGTGGATGGGTCGAACTGGTCCAAGCTCTTCAAGTTCCGGTTCAGGGTGATGATTCCGTCAAATGACCTGCAAGCAAGTCCAAAGGGGAACGAGGCAGTCCCCCAGTGAACCCTCCGGCGAGAGAATCAGTAGAGGAAGAAGGAAATGTAGAGAGAGAGAGATGAAAAGCTTAACCTTCCTCTTGTCTTTCTATTCTTGCTTATATCTTTTGGTAATCATTTCACTGTCCCTTGTGACACGCCCCCTTCCGGCGAAAGCCTGTGCCGTAGCTTACCTTGTTCAGGGTGAGGGGGCTCTATTCCGACGAGGAGGTGTTGTTGTAATAAATGTTGTGATGGGCTGTATTAATGGTGATGTGTTGTGGTAATAACTCTACAGATCTTTGTCTGCTGATGTGGCCTGTGTTTCACCTGCCATATACCCGAATGCCATTGGCCCTCCATGTCTAGATGGCCTCCAGCTGTCCTGGGCTTTGCCAACCGGGTTATGCTATTGATCCCAAGCGATGGGTTTGGGGTGGTTTGCTGTGGGCCGTATGCCTTGTGGGCCTATCCATGTCAGTAGTCCCCCATTTCCGAGTGCAGCTTCAGCCCAACGAAGGGAATAGTAATAAGGAAGAGAAGTGCGAACCGAGTGAAGAGGCCGACTGGAAGCCGTGCCGACCGCAAGGGTGACTGAGCGGGAGAAGCTGACCGTGAGGGTGGCCGAGTGGGAGGGGTCGACCGTGAGGTGTGCCGACCGCGAGGGTGGCCGAGCGAGAGGGGTCGACCGTGAGGCGTGCCGACCGCGAGGGTGGCCGAGCGGGAGGGGTCGACCGTGAGGCGTGCCGACCGCGAGGGTGGCCGAGCGGGAGGGGTCGACCGTGAGGCGTGCCGACCGCGAGGGTGGCCGAGCGGGAGGGGTCGACCGTGAGGCGTGCCGACCGCGAGGGGTCGACCGTGAGGCGTGCCGACCGTGAGGGTGGTCGAGCGGGAGGGGTCGACCGTGAGGCGTGCCGACC